CACAGACACACACCCAAACCACATACACACACACACACACACACAGTCAGATCATCTACAGACACACATACACACACACACAGTCAGATCATCTACAGACACACACACACACACACACACACACACACACACACACACAGACATCATATCTGGAGTGTTTGTGACAAACAGCATTAATATAATCCCATTGTGTTACGCAACATTTCAAGTCAGACCAAATGTTGCTGAAATGTAAACGGTCAGCAAACACACACACAAAATCTGTCCTTGTTTGTATATAATCTGTGCTTTTATTAAGAACATTTTTCAAGTGCACGTTTTTAACTGACAATAGAAATAAATATATATTTAAAATATCTACTTTAACATAGATGGATACATGGATTATTCTGTTCCAATTTTTACATTTTAGATCACTTGTTTATTATTATTTTTAAATCTTTTAAGTTAGATATTTTGTCAGACTGTACTTATTTTAAGGGACAGTTTTGTGCAAAACACACACGTTGTGTATGAGATAATGTTTGCATGCTGTATAAAAGATTTTTATTTTTAAGATAGATTAATGTTTTTATGTGTAAAATAAGATAGATATTTTTTTAGATAAAATTTTTTTTATTTGGCTTAAAGAGATGATGAATCCTGAATGCTTTCCTTTGCTGTATGTTTCCTTCGAGTCCCGATGGATTTACGCTCCTGCCGTCCACAATCTGACAAGTGTGTGTGTGTGTATATGTGTGTGTGTGTGTGTGTGTGTGTGTGTGTGTGTGTAAAATCTGACCTATTTCTATGCTAGAGTGTCTTAAAACACATTTGGCTTCGAACCAGCTGGACACAAAGACAATGAGAGACAACTCAAAACAACAACCCAGACCAATCGCATCCAACACAACTGACTTTGAAACTGCTAATATTGTTGCTTAAGCATGATAAACAGCTTGTGTTTTTCCTCTTTTCTGATAAAAAGCTTCTTCTAAAAGATCAAATGCAAGAATAGGAGCATCTTGAATTCAGTCACGTGACCCGTTCGGACGCGAGAGCAGTGCTGCGAATCATTTAACATTCCCGCGTTCAGAGGTGAAAACAACCTGCCGATCTGCGAATGTTTGGCAGGAGATGAAAACTCCAGATCATAGAATAAAGACCGCGAGATTCTCCGGCTCGCACACAAACACTGTCAAACAAATCCACTCGCACTTCAGGAATATCATCACAAAACATGCAGCAGTCAACATTCTCACGGACAGAGGAATAATAGTTCAGACACGAAATATCGGTTTATTTTGATCACTACATTTCACTTACTCGGCCAGGAAAGTTCAGGAAAGTTGTAGAAATTAAAATACATTCCAAAAAAACATTTTGATGTTAATTTTCTCATCTTTCCCTGGAGAGAGAGACAGACGGACACAGGTATGGACGGCACAGGAGAGAGAGAGAGAGAGAAGATGCTCTTTTCACTGAAGTTTCCTTTAAACAGTTTATGGTTGCCATGACGACAGCCGAGTGATTTGATTCCAAAAGAATCTTTCTTGCAACATTTGTTGCAACAATCTGGCATTCATGCACCTAAATTAATGCTTTTGTGAGATATTAACTCTCTTACACCACATGTTTCATCTTTCTGTCTCTCTCAGGTCAAATCAACTCACATTTATTATTTATATAGCGATTTATACGATACAGATTATTTCAAAGCAGCTTCACAAAAATAGGAAAATAAGTTATAAAATTATGAAATGACTGAAATTTCAGCTGTAAAGCAGGTCTACAGAAGACAATAGTTATATATATATATAGTTATAGTATTTTTGTTTCAGTTTTAGTACATCAAGTTTAACTAGAGTTAAAATGAGAAATATCTTTTTTCAGTTTATTTTGTTAAAAAGAATTGTAATTTTAGTTTCAGTTTTAGTTATATAATAACCCTGGTGTAGTCAGGCTGTTGTGCGATTATTTGCATTTGAATGAGCTAGTGCTGGAGTTAACTAGTTGTAGGGTTAGTAAACGGGTTGTTGTGGCTCCGAGGGAATAACCGAGTGAAGAATTCATGGAGGGGCGTTCGAGTCAGAGCTGGAAAACAAAGTTTACCATTGAAGAAAAACAACGATATTGAGAGAGACGGAGGGGAAAAATGGAGGTGGAATCTGGCTGTGGTTGGTCTGATCCCAAACCCGGCCCATTCCTCTCGTTTTGAGCTGCCATTATCCTCTCCAAGTCATAACAGCCAGAACACCCACCTCGACAGAGAGGAGGAGGAGGATCCACAGGGAGAGAGAGGGGGATGGGAGGAGAGAGAGAGAGACCAGCAGCCAACAGAGAGAGCGAGAGAGAGAGAGAGAGAGAGAGAGAGAGAGAGAGAGAGAGACCAGGAGAGAGAGAGAGAGAGAGAGAGAGAGAGAGGAAAGCTGTTGCAGATGAGGGCGTACCAGACTCTTTACAACTTTTACAGTCTGTCTGCTGAAAGACGGCAGCAGTTTTTACACTCGACATCACAGAAAAGATGCACCACCAAAATCAGGGATCGGTCAGATTTGAATGTTTCTGAAAGAAGTCTCCTCTGCTCACCAGAGCTGCATTTATTTGATCAGAAATACAGTAAAAATGGTGAAATATTATTGCAATGTAAAACAGCTGTTTTCTATGTGAATATCTGTTAAAGTGTAATTAATTTCTCTGTATTTTCAGCATCATTACTCCAGTCTTCAGTGTCACAAATCATTCTAATATGCTGATTTGCTGCTTAAGAAAAGTTTATGATTATTATCAATGCTGAAAACATTAATATGTTTGTGGAAACTGTGACTTTTTCAGGATTCACAGATGAGTAGAAAGTTCAAAAAAACGGCATTAATTTAAAGCTGAAATCTTTCGGAACATTATAAACGTCTTACTTTTGAGCAATTTAATGCGTCCTTGATGAATAAAAGTATTAATTTCTTAATAAGTTTTGTCCTAAATAGCAACAAGTGATGAGTGAGTTTTGTGAATTGTTTGGTGTTGTTGTTCGGTGTAGCCCCGCCCACAGTGAAATCTCATCGGTCTAGAATCCTGCGTCACGTCACTCTTCTTGCGTTCAGTGTGAACAGAAACCTGCTTGTTGCTGGAAACATGCGGCATCAAGTTTGGTTAGGACAGCTTGGGTTTCCCAACCAGGTGTTTGTACAAATTTGTAGAACATATGCGTATAAAGTAGCTGTACTGTAGCTCAAACAGAAGAGGTGCTTGCAACACCAAGGTCATGTGTTCGATTCCCAGAGAATGCGTGAACTGAAAATAAAAATGAAAGTTAATAATATATATTCTGCCAAATGCATAAATTTAAAATCATAGAATAAAAAATTATTATACATTTAAAATAAAATAAACACACAAAATAAAAACATTTGAAATAATATTTTACCTGTTACACAGTGACATTTTTGTCCTTGTCATGCATGTGATTCCCCTGTGATTTCTGACAGGTGTGTGTCCATATGTGCTGTGTGTGAGTGTGTGTGTGTGTGTGTGTGTGTGTGTGTGTGAGTGTGTGTATGAGTGTGTGTGTGTGTGTGTGTGGGTGT